CATGTGGCCGCTATGCTGCAGGTGCTGCAACTGAGCGAGACCGAAATGGATATCGTGGCCCGCTTTATGGGCCATGACATACGGGTCCACAGGCAGTTCTATAGACTTCCCGAAAAGACGGTGCATGCTGCCAAAGTGAGTAAAATACTACTCGCGATCGACAAAGGGATCGGCGGATTCGCAGGAAAGACCCTGGATGACCTTGAACCCAGCAGTGACGATGTCGTCGAAGGTGGTCCCGCTCCCAGTGTCGACATGAAGGACTGCGCCAGCAGTATTGCCCCTGACGACATGAGGGTGGAGATGGAGGTGAAGAACGCTAAAGAGATGGCCTCCGATCCCCAAGCTGAAGCAGAAAACAGACCACCCAGGGGCCCAAGGATTAGTGAAAGAAGGCCCAAAGCCAAAAGGAAGGTCGTGCTGTGGACTGAAAGAAAAAAGGAGGCTATACAGAGGCGCATGAAGCCATTTATTGGTTCTCTGAAGTGCCCAGGAATGGCAGACTGCCTAGCGGCACTGAAGGCGGAGTCTGCACTGTCCCGGCGTTCCTGGAAGGATGTTAAGTTCTGTGCATACAATGTGATCCAGAAGCACAAGCGTGCCATGGAAATGTAGTTTCAGCTGATAGCTTGGAGTGCTCCATATCTAGATCCCCTGCTGCGTTGTGTGCAATCGCTGCCTTGCGGTGGCAATGTTCTTTTACCTGCAAGCTCGAGAGGCTCCGGACGTTCGATCCTCTGTTGTGTTATGTTGCAAACCCTGCTTTGCGGTGTGGTTGTTTGACCCGTTTGCAAACAAACTAAGGAATATTTTGCAAAAGAGTGTTTGTGGTGGACCGTGATCGGAACTGATGGATTTGCTGTGTCATCCTGCCCTCCCCACATGGAAATAACACACAAACCAAAAATGAATAGCAGAAGGCCCCCGTCGGGAGACCTCAACATTGCCTTACAGAGTGCAGTGAATGACCTATGTCAAGAAGTTTGAAACCGATTTCGTGACCCGCATAGCTGACTGACCTGACCTGCCCCAGATCGTCGTCGATCTGGACTCGTCGATCATCGTCGATCAGGACTATCGATTGATCGTGGTTGTCGTCATCGTCTTCATTGGGGCTTTACGACGCCTGCTGAGGCCATATGGCGTCGCCTGACACTCTAACCAAGGCAGTGATTTGTTATTGTGATTGCTCTTCATCTATGCCGTGGGCTGGTCAGACAGGTACCGGCCAGGTACCGAAGACAGGGGTAATGAAATTACATCAGCGGAAGAACTCGGAATGTTGGAAAATGCAAGGAGGTTCAGATTTTTGTACTGTTCTCATTTTACGCATTATTCATGCTTTGAAGTCAACCACCTATATGTGATGTAATACCACATAGTTTCGCAACTTTTAATTCGCACACAATGTTATGCGTCCTGTCTTGACAAAGTTTTGTCGTCAACTTGTTGGAAAAAATTTCGAACACAGACGAAGAGACATAATTTTGGACTGTAATGACAACCAAGAACAAGGCATAACATGTAGCATAAGAGAAGGCATAAGAAGTGAAAATCATCTGTTGCAAACCGAAAAGTTGCGTATAGCTCTTGCCATGCGTCAAATACAACATAATATAGTACAATATAATACAAATATAGCAACGTTATGCAACATAACAGGATCATCACATAACATATTACAATAAAATGCAAATATAGCATTATATAATGCAATATAGTGCATATATAACAATGAAATACAACATAATACAAAAATGAAATAATATAGCACAACATAAATATCACGGCTCCTTCCAACACGAAGGGTGTGCAGACAAACCATCGGCAACCAAGTTCCATTTCTCTGTCAGTTGGTTCGCCAACGTGACTGAACCGACGTTATCACCTAAATTCCCTTTCTTTCCATGTCATCAATGAAGGCAATTTAGATACACATTACAATGCGGAGACCGGTCCCTAGCTTGATACGTGTAAGGCATATGACGCACCTTTGACGTCATGTTAGCTGGTCCCCGCTTCGCAGCATCCTACGGATATTAATCCCTTATCGCTAGACCTACGAAATGCCTACCATCGCACTCTTCGGGTGTTCAGCAGCACTAAGATGTTAATTTCGTAAGGCTAGCTCATGTTTAAAGAGGTGTGTAAGTGGTCCCCACTCGGTAGTAGTCCAGCGCGGTCCCCACTTGGGAGGGCTTGCAAACAGAGGTGTGTGTGTGTGTGTGTGTGTGTGTGTGTGTGTGTGTGTGTGTGTGTGTGTGCGTGTGTGTGTGCGCGCGCGCGTTCGTGCGCGCGTGCGCGTTCGTGCGTGCGTGCGTACGTACGTACGTACGTGCGTGCGTGCGTGCGTGCGTGCGCGCGCGCGTGCGTGCACGCGCGCGGGCGTGGGCTTAAAACATCATACAACTTATAAAAGCGTTTTTTCCCAAACTTAGGGAGGTGAGATTGCGGATTGCGGAGATTGCGCCCACGCCCACGCCCACCCCCACGCCCACGCCCACACCCACCCTCACGCCCACGTGTACGTGTGTGCGTGCGCGTGTGTACGTCTGCCACACTTGAAGCGCTGCCAGAACAGTCACATTGTGGAGATACAGGAAACATAGTTGAATGATTAAAATATCTTGCAACCGTGGTTATTTAACATCGAATTACGTATGAGAGAAGTAAACATGCAATCACCATACGGTGCACGTAGGTATTAAGTCGCAGACTCGCCATACTCTTCGGCAGCGAGCTAGCTCGGCGGTTTATCTGACGCTGAACGGCGCACACCCAACCGCAATCTCATTCCTTAAGTTCTGGGAAAAAGCGATTTTATAAGCTTGACGCTCTGGCGGCTATTCATGCCCTCTGTGTTAGAGTGATCTGATATAAGCGCAGACCTGGAATGCCACGTGGAGATTGGCCGGTTGGTTTGTGTATATTTATAGCTTGGAAGACAACTTGTTATGCTTGTTCTAGGAACGTTGCCTCGCACGCTCGTTGCTTGCAGAGCTCATAATCCTGTGAAATGTTAAATGTCAAAGGCATGGAATGTCCTTTCTTAGAACACAGGCATACTGGGAAAAATGCAGAAAAGGGCGTACATACACATACGCGCGCGCGCATGCGCACGCGCACACGCACACGTACACGCACATGCATGCACGCATGGTCGCACGCGAATCCTTACTAGAAGACACACTGGCAATAAGACACATATCGCTGAGCTGGCCGGGTACAGGCAATCGGGGCTTGCCGCTTCCCGTACCACCGCAGGAAACCTGTCCCGCGTTGACGCGGCCCGGAAGGCAGGACTCCGACGGGCTATCCCGTACGCACCCCGGGCGGCTCTGGAAGGCTTTCGGTAGTGCCACGCGTGACACGGGCTGACACTGCATCGCAGTACAGCACACGTTCCTTCAGAGATGTCAGTGAGCGAGGCGTGTGCAGAGCTCTATGCATTGTCACCAAGTCTCGTTCAGTTAGAAGCCGGTCAAATTGTTGGCATGTAAGCTCAGCTCGGATGAGCTTACATGCCAACAACGGGAGAAACATGAACATTTGGGCGTGTATACTTTTTTAATGTGTTACAGCTGAGCATTGCGGCCGCTTCCCCACACAGTGAAGCATTGTTGTGAATAGGGAGGGTCAAAAGCTTTGATAAGTCTGTTTTAGCGTTCTCCGTCAGCCTCTGTGCCAATTTCGAGACGCGGCAGATGCGTGCATGGCAGCGCTTGACTGCTGACGCTGAGTGGCAGGCGCCTGCTCAGTTGGAGAAGGAGCTGGTTTCGGCTCGTTGAATGAGATCATGAAACGTCGGTTATTTTTCCATCTTCAGTCTTGTTTCATCATGAATCCTCGCGACACCCTGCTTGTGCGGGGCAGGCTGCATGCTTCAGCCACGAGTGGGCCGAGAGCCCCGTCCACAGAGGGACGCGACCGGGTACCCAGCGCGCATGCGCGGTTTAAAGCTCGGAGGTTGGCCTCCCAGGCGCATGCAAGTAGCCCCCAACGTTAAGCACTTACCTTCATGCCATAGGTTGAAATGATCATTTCTAGTCAAAAGGGCTTAGATAAAAAACCTGGAATACCACCCATTGGATGTCGCGGGGGAGGCGAGCGAGGACACGGTACTAGGCTTTCTCTCGCTCTGCGACGCACACGATATTGTGCATGTGTGTCGCTACACGGGTCCTTGTTGCTCTGAGCACGTGCCTCGTCTCGTCCGCACATTGTGACCCTGTCCCGTTTATTGTCCATCCACGGGCGCGGGCGACGTCTTGTCTTGATCTTGATCAGCGTCATGTGATGACTGGTACAGGGTCATCACGCTGATGACCACGCTGCCCATTTATCACTCGCGGTAGCCAAGTCATAGACCAAACTTCAATCTGTCATTAAAATATCGCAACACATCGCGTCTGTGCTCAGTCAGCGAGTTGAACGCAGCCACTTCAGCGAGCCGTCGTGTGCCGCGGTTCAGCCGAGCCGAGCCTGAGGTGACTCTCGTCGTATTTATCCTGGATGAGGTTCTCACGCTGGCAGGATCCAGCTGAGCCCGGTCCAATCGGTCGATCGATCTGGTATTGTAGCATCTGTCTTATAGCATCATCTTGTAGCGTCGGATTTCCGGATTTTTTTAACCATATTTCTGCAAGATGTGACGATGTACATACATGCAACCAGACGGCGCTCGAGCACTGCCGTAAATGTGTGCTACATTTGTGTGTGCATACCCTGCAAGGGTATGCTAGTCTGCGCGTTAAAAAAAAATGCATCGGGTATGAACATAACACTATCTTAATGTGTTCGGTTTTGCACAAAGGTCGGCCGCCCGAGGGTGCATGTCTCGTACTTTTCGTTTCGGTCTCCTAGCCATTGACGGTGAGGCCGTGTTCGCAGTCATTTCCCGTTCACTCGTTGATACGACTGATATTTGTCGTGAACGGCATCATTGATAATATCCCGTGAGTTGGCGTTTGACAGTGAATTGGGTTCGTTCATTGCAGGGAGACGGCCAGTCCAGCGTGACACCCCAGCGATGGAGGTCACGGACCACGAGGTGCGTATGGCCGAGGCCAACCGGCCTCAACCGCCGGGTCGCCGCCGGGTGACGGCGTTACGGCGGAGCACGTGACTCCAGATAAAACGGACCAACTGGCATTTGGGGCACGGTTGGGTTGATAATGGGTGTGAGCGCTCTACGACCAGAGCGGCAGGATGGGGACGACACTTCATTAAGTCAATTTGGTACCTGTAAGGTAATTGTGAATTCTGGAGGTTATTTTTTCATTCATCGCCATGTGTCTAAGATTGTTGCAGGTACGTTCGCGTACAAGGATGCCACTCCGACGGCGGGTATCTGTTAGGTCAGTAACGGGCTACTGTTGCCTGTCACTGTGTCCCAGTGACACGCTCTGGGTCGAGGGTTGGCTGGATTGCAGTGGGCATGAGCTGAGCGGGTTCGCTAATGACTGTGGCGCAGTCGGCCAGTCTCTCTTCGTCCGCCTTTTCATCACATTGCGGTGCCAAAGTGAATGTTTCTGTTCATCACGAATGAGGGCACAGATTGACCTCGTCTCAACCCCAACTAACCGAAAGTGGTAGAACGCCATCGGCCCAGCCCGACCAGCCGCGCTTGTAACAGGCTCATATGGTAGCTCCAGTCAGTGGTGGTCCCGCCATGCAGAAACTAGCGACGAGAAGCGTAATTCGCGTAAGCTGTGCCCTAATGGTTTTAGGTCATTTGAGGACAAGCTAGTTGGCTAGTTCTGGTTTTCCTTAGATGTTTCCGCAACGCTTTCCTGCTTCCTGCGGCGTTCCCGCAACGTTTTCCCACTTCCTGCGACGTTCGCTCAACGTTTTCCTGCTTCCTGCGACGTTCCCGCGCATAAAAATGCTCATACGCATTGAGGAGGCTCAGAGGGTCATTAGGGGATGGAAGGGGGGGGGGGGGGGGGGGCGCTCAGGCTCCTCAGAACGTATTTAGTGACTCCCCGCTCAGCTCTGATCTTCGTTTTTTCGCCGTTGATTCAAATCATAGAAAGGACAACTATGCGTAAGTCCGTTCACCTAGCCGTATCAATCTTATTCTACGGCGGGTGACGGCCTATCTCGTACGGGGGCACAAGACAAGCTGTGTCTCGACCGGCCGCGAAAGCAGGTTTATGTCGGGCGCTGTGAGTTTGTCTTCCGGGACACGGCAGCATCGACCGGTCGTATGCAGGCCCGGGAGCGGCCAGGCGCCCAGGGACACGGTCGCGGCTCTGAACATTCACCGGATGGAGGTGTGACCTTTGGGCGAGCCGTTGCGTCGGGCGAGCGCGAGAGCGTTGCCAGCCAAGGTCGCGCGCCCGACCAGGTGTGACGTCATCTTGCCATGGCCACGCTCCGCGCGGCAGTTGATGCGCACCTGTCCATGGTCAAGCTGCCGATGGCAGAGCGCTGTTCATGCTGTGAGCGCTTTTGTTACCCTGGCCAACCCGGCTGATGCGAAATAATGGTGCGTCGATGTTGAGAATCACCGAGCGTTAGGTTGGTCCGTTAACGTAAAGGAAATGTTCCACATTTTAAGATATTGAGGCAAGTATCAGATATGATGAAATAAGCTCAGTTCTAAACATGGGTATACTTTTAAGTGAAAAGACTGCTCTAGACAATACGAATTTTCTGTCTGGCAAATATGCTCCCTAAAGACCTCGTTGTTTGATTACGTTATCATGCCTTGCACAACATTGATTTAGAGCCAATTGACGACCGTTATGTCTGGGAATTGTGCCCACGAACGCCAGGTATGAACGACTCGACAATTGCATTTTTATTCGCATTGACCGTCGCATGGCTGGTGGAATGACAGGATTTTTTATTATGGTGTCATCGCTGCCTGAGTGACCTTGAAGTAGTCTCCGAAATAGTCTGCACATCTTTGCGGGTGTGTGGCTCAGAGACTACAGGCGTTTGGGCCTCAAGAAAGGGACGGCTGCGAAATGCACTGAATGATCTTCAAGATGGCTATTTCAGTTCAAAACCCAATACAAATGTGGAACACCATCTTTAAAAGGGATATTCCACATGAGAAGAATTTGAGGTTAGCTTCAGATATGATGGAGGGAACTCACTTGTGACTATTTGTTTGCCTTTCAGTAAGAAAGGCTGCTTTAGATAACACAACTTATGTATTTAGTAAATATGTTCTTAAACACGTCATCGTTTGATGATATTGTAGAACATCTTTATGATGTTAGAGTCGCTGCCAGGCTAATCGTGTCATAACTGCTGCTGTACTGGTAAGAACTGCTGCTGTAGTGGACGGGCTGACTCATTTGAAGCAAAACAAATCGTCAAGAGGTGGGGGAGGGTTTTTCTGAACCCAAATGTCGTTATATACTTGTGTTTTGGCACTTTCTCGTGATGTTTTTGTTTGTTTGTCATCGTTTCTTGTAAGTTTTCAACTTGCATCAACATACCCTGATATGACACTAGTCTTATGTTATTCGATTCTTAGTGTTCTTTCATTCACCACAGGAAGCACCGCCCAAATTCCTGTATGATGTGGCATGGCACAAATCGTGATTCGCGTTCAAAACTTGCATGAAAGGGAATAGCCAGCTTTTTGGATTTTTCACACTTCAATTTTTTGCGTGCATGATTAGATCGCAGGATTCCGATTTTATCGATGATACCAATTTCTCAAAATTCTTCTGGAAAACTCGGAAATGTATTTAAATAAGTTTTTTGTCTGGCTTTTCTCAACGTGCGTTATGCGATATCTTCAGTACACCAATTCGCTAAAACTCATACGGAACAAATGGTGCGAGAGCTTGAAGCCGTCCATTTAGGGAGAAGTGCTAACAATGATGTGGCCTTTCTCACAGCATTCTAACGAAACCTTTCACTATGCGTTTGAATTTTTCCTTGTGGCGTATAGCGTAGCGACTGTTCGAAGGGTTCTATGGCCTTGTAAAGCATAGTTTATTTGAACGCTTGTTCCGTCCAAGATTGCGTTTATGAGGCAGGTACACACTATCGTCATATCAGCTGGTTTAGCGAAGCACATGTTCCACCAAAGCACTGCTCGTCAAAGCTCACGCTGTGCGTTGTGATAATTGCAAACGATGATATCTACCGCCAACATTCTTACCCAACCAACATACCAATGCAACATGTTCCCACTACCACCATCATGGTAGATGTAAGCACCACGTAATTTAAGTGAAGATATTTGGTTCTACTGCTACAGAATATTCTATCCTGAGCGTACCAGCTTTACGTTGCATTAACTCACTCACTACCTACCCTAAACATCGTTATCATGGCGTTAGTAACTTATTCGTACCATCGTTGTAAACCTAACAATGGTTGAATGAATTGAGCATATGCGTTTATTCTGCTGTTCTGTTCAGTTTGCTTTGCCTGTACGTAATGCCAGCATGGCCCATTGCACAAACAAGTGTGCGAACAGTGATCTGTAACAGAGTCACATGTGCGGAGATGGAAAATTGTTTAAATGATTAGCAAGATGTTCACAATGTTTAAATGATTACCAAGATGTTCAAAATGTTCCATTCAACATGCGAAGGCGGGTTTTCCAAAATGTTGCATAAAAGTAAGGTTGATTAGGTTAGTTTTGGTTAGGATAAGTTATTAGGCTAGATTGGCTTAGGTTAGGTTAGGTTAGGTTAGGTTAGGTTAGGTTAGGTTAGGTTAGGTTAGGTTAGGTTAGGTTAGGTTAGGTTAGGTTAGGTTAGGTTAGGTTAGGTTAGGTCAGGTCAGGTCAGGTCAGGTTAGGTTAGGTTAGGTTAGGTTAGGTTAGGTTAGGTTAGGTTAGGTTAGGTTAGGTTAGGTCAGGTTATGTCAGAACAACACCTCCACGTCTTGTTGAAACAGCTTGTCACGGGCAGCAGTCAGTGGTTGTCATTCAACATGAACATCAACCACTGAAGACCTCCAAGCAGTAAATGAACACATTGTTTGCCAGGTGGCGGATCCAGAGGGGGTAGGGGGCACGGAGCCATGGTCCCTCCTTGGGCCACTAAGGGGGCATAGCTAGAAGGCTGCGAAGGAGCCCATAGCTTGCCGAAAGACGCAGGTTTTTGTCACAAAACGCAACAAAATTGAACATGTTTGGGCTTCCAGACGACCAAGAACAGTCGCAAGCGAAAGTGAAAGGCCTGGGAGCAGAGAAGAGTAATTCTTCACCGCCACTGTAGCACCTTCAAGACTCTTATGGATATCATTTCTAAATATTGCTGAATGCAACTTACGCTGTTAATGCTTTGTGACAACACTGCGCTTCTTTCCCGCCGTCACGACCGCCGTTGTGATGACAACGACCGTGCGCACCTCGACTGGTGCGAATGAAAAAAAAAATGTCTGGGATTGACTCAGCGAGTGGTGATGTGTTATCGAGAAGTTGGTTGGTTTAAGTTTGAACCACTGCGTCCATGATCCATGCGTTACTCTCAGTCCCAAAGCCAAAATGCGCTCCGAAAAGATCAGTGTTACAAACGTCATATGGGACGAACCAAAACCATAATATAGCATTTCGTTGAGTTCGCAGGTAATAGCTTCGTGTTCGCGTATCTTGCTTTGTCTAAATAGAGTGTTTCAAGCCTTCGTAGCATTTACTACACAAATATTCCGACACATTAGTACGTTGCAAACATTACGCGCCACACACATTGGAAAAGCAACACAAATGAAATGTATTGCTTTCATGATGGTGAGTAGAGAGTCAAATTAAATTTCTCCAGCAGGGTCCGCTACTTCAGATCGAAATTCTGAGCTGCTCAGAAGGATTTCCAGAAGACTGGTATTATTGGCCTGTTTGTGGTACCCCGAAAATTCGATCCCACCTAGCGTAAAACGTTGACGTGCCGACTACATTTTACAATCAACTTCTTGCAGCCCATCAAAATTTGGGTCAAATCAGTGACGTTGCGTAGAAATCATCACACTTTCAGAATTGCATCGAACATTGCTATATCGAATGCTAAGGTATTATTAAGTATATAACTGTAAGATGGAATGACGCAAATGGTTTCATGCAATGGCCGATACAAGACGTTATCTTTTGTAGAAAACTTGACTAGAGATGTTAGATAGCTCGCTTTACAATGTGTAAGCAAACTATAAAATACGTTAAAAATATACCCCACATTTCGGGCTAATGTAAAAATCTTGAGTTTCTTATTGTGTTTTGCGCCTTGTCATACAATTCTATGCTCCTAACAAGGCGAGTCTGCCTCCAGGAATAAGGTCATGACCGAGTGAACTGTCGGGATCTGCGATTAATCTAAACAGCACTGGGGAAGGGAACTGCATTGCCAACGGGATACTATGCATCAATTAATGCTGTTTATTTTTTAGTCCAAATAACGCGGTCAGCATATAGCATTGCAGTCAGTTGCTAAAAACCTTTCCCGATTAGTAAGCATTGGCACTAAATTTTCTCGAGGACGCACTGGCACCGTGTGACGAAAGAAGAAAGAATCTTAGTCCTGGTCTGAAGTGTTGACCACGTGATATGACTGGAAAATGAGCGGAATTAATACTTGCTCAATATCCTGTTGACGATGCAGTTCCACTCACCAATGTTATTTAGATTAATGCCATGTCCTAAGGACTCACCAGATTGTTTTTGAAATACATGCCAAAGGTGGGATGCTCGGTTCAAGGCCAACTGATATTCGTTGCTGTCACAAATCGTGCTGACGTACGCCAGGCGCCAATAAAGTGTTGATCATATTGGTATTGACCTTGAGCACTGCATGGCCATTGAGGTGGCGGTATTCGCGTGACGCGTCTGTAGCGTCATGCATGTCTGAGTGACTTTGAAATAGCATACGCGAAACGGTCTGAACAAGTCCGGGGTCGTCGAACTCAGAAACAAGAGGATATGAAGTCCTAAGAAGTGCATGAATGTGAACTGCACTGAATGATCTTCAAAATGTCCGCCTCAGCTCACATCGCCGCACAAACGCGAAACATTCCTTTTAAGATGCATGAGATTAAGTGTCAACAAATCAAAGCCGAGGCAGAGACGTTACCACAAGATAATTGAAACACGAGATGTTTTCATATCGCATGTAAAAAGGTGGCGCAATCGCAACACGCATTGTTGATGTTGCTTTGAAACAAAGGGAGTTTCGTGAAGTCTTGGATTCGCCCCCGGAATGCTCCTGCGATTGAAGGTGATGCAATCATGAAAACTAGGAAAAGCTGGGTCGTAACATGCTGCTGCTTGTGCCCTTATGCATCGATGGCATTCGTTAATGTGTTTCAGCTGGATCCGAACACCCACCATGAGATGGGAAAGGGCAGCGAGGACCAGGAGGCGCGAGGTACACCTCGCGGCGAGAAGCTGGACATGCTGTTCGAAGTAGATGACACGCCACCATGGTACTACTGCGTGGTTCTGGGATTTCAGGTAAGTCAGTTCGACTTTCAAATGACTGAGATGAGTCCTGTGCTGTAGGTGTCTTAGATCTGCACAGCGCTAGTTGTGATATGGCTATTTCATGGTGTTTCTTCGTCACTGGCCGTGGTAGGGAGAATCTGTTGGGAAAGACATAGATGAACCGAGAGAGGCTCCGATTGTTTTTTAAGTGGTGTTTTTAATAACTCGGAATAATTGCGTTTTTGCTTAACCCCGCCGGCTCTCGAAAATGATTGCTGACCGTGGTAATGGCCGTGCAGGACGCAAGTAAAACAACAATGCTCCAAAATAGCTGTCGCCGACCACAACGTCTTCTATAATTGTATTCGGCTTTTGCTATTTGGCTGCTATTGAACAGCGCTTCGGCTGCTGTGCCCATTTGTACTCTATAATTAGAGTATATATCATTGCAATATGATATAACTGCACCGACGGGCGTTTCGTCGCGTTGCGCAGTCCCAATATAGTCGTCTGACATGGATAAGGGATCATGAATGTCGTCGGTGCTCGGAGCGAATGGGCAGAAACATCAAACATTTCATGCCTGCCGTATCCTTCGTTGATTGAAACTGCCACTAACGCCCAACGGGTGTTATGCGTGAAGGACTGGAAACCCCATGGCCAGGTACCACCAAGAAGATTTTTGGTATTTTCGGTCAACAGTCTTCGTTATCATTCGTCTTCTTCGTCGTCAGTCTTCGATCTTCAGCCATCATCGACAAATGCGATATCTTCTTTGATGTACTTCTCCGTTTCAGACAGCGAACAGCATTAAAAGGCTTTAATTACTCGTCATGCCACTGGTATTGAATGTTCAGGTATTGGACGTGCGGCATGCTAGTCCCAGTCATACGCATGAGGTGCGTGGATGCGTTTTCGCGACAACACATAGTTCGACAAAAAATGCGTTTATGTCTGTCGAGAGTGCATTGAGTGTGCTCTGTCACTGTTGTATTTATTTCTTCACCTACTGTAGCCAGTCTGACATTCTGTTTTGATGTTTATCACTTCCGTCTGACAGCAGTGTTAGTTGCCATATCCAGCTTGAACTCCTCCACTTCGCCATCCGCCTCTGTCTGGCAGCAATACCTGACGATGTTCGGAAGCACCGTCTCCATCCCCCTGATCATCACGCCAAGCATGTGTATGGACGAGAGCGACCCTGCTCGGGGCTACGTGATCGGCACTATTCTCTTTGTTTCCGGCATCGTCACTCTACTGCAAGTCACGTTCGGCGTCAGGTGGGAAGTCACGCGACAACAGCCCTTTCTGAGTATCACGTACAGTGCTTGGTATTTTGTGGCGATGATTTGTGTGCACGACGAGATCGCTTGGCGGCACAAGTATATGCGTGCTGTATGTGTATGTGCTATGCTGTATGCGTGAGTTATATCGGGTAAGTACGAATATCGCTCGCATATTTTCTTCGGGATGCATTTTTCCCCTCGCTTATCAAAAACAACAAGCGATTGTTGAGGAGAAGACGTGAGCTCATCGGTATCACTGTCATCTGGGGCGCAGTCAGGATTAATGGTGGGGGCGAGGGGAGGGAGGCACCACGATTTTTGACGCGGGGGCAAATTTTGACGAGCGAGTTGCAGCCCATCGACAGTACTTACGTATTTCGAACACATTAACGGACTCACAAACGCTGATAGGTACAACACCTAGCGTATCAATGAGCTACCGATGCTGGTTTGTCCTGGTGCCTAAAGCAATTGTTTCATCTGCGTATCGCACGTGTTGACTCAGCTATTCGTTGGCCTCGTTTCTAAATTATGACTGTTTGGCTACATGTCGCTGCCCATGGTAGTGTCTGTAAGATTTAAAAACAAGTTGTTTCCTGATGACCAAATTGCAGTTGCACTCAGTAGCGTCGTATTAAAAAAGCGACGCCGAGCGTGACGAAGAGATCTAAAGCCCCATCAGCCCTCCCCCTTCCCCCACCATCGCTGGCTGCGCCACTGCTTTGGACTCACAAGTGAAATAGTGCGAGCTCGATGCTTACTGCCTGTTGTACAACAACTTTCCGTTCTACGATTGGATCTCAACGGCAATGACCATACCTGCCGCACATACACGCGGTTGTTTTACATGCCGATGTTTTTCTATTTTATACGTATATTGAGATGCCTAGGGTAGGACCGGCATCAAACGGCTGGCCGGGAGCCGCACGCGAACAGAATACGGGCGACCTTGTTAGGACATATTCGGTGGTAGCACTGAATATGTCCTGTAAGACCGTCTTTACCATTCGCAGCTCGGTCGACAGCGTCGTCGTTTGGCGCCGCTGCCGCTCCGATCGTGTCACCGTCGTCTGGCGCCGCTGCCACGCCAACATTGGCGCCTGATCTGACGCCGCGGCACTCTCTGCAGGCTGTCGATCGTTCAGGGCGGCAACTTCTCCTTCTTGACGCCGACGCTGACGCTGCTGAGCCTGCCGCAGTGGAAGTGCCCCGACCCGGCGATGCGGGCGCTGCTCTCGGATGACGAGCGCTACGAGCTCTGGTCGTCGCGCATGCGCGAGGTCCAGGGCGCCATTGCAGTGTCGGCCATCTTCCAGATCGTGCTCTCCTTCGGCGGTACGCGAAATCCATCACTGGACTCGTTTTTTTGTCACGAAGGGAGAGAGCGCCTTTGCAACCGGGAAGGTTTGACCACAACTCGAATAGTTACCTTAATCATCGGCATGTTTAGTTGTGAAAAGAACATTATCGCGGCCAAACATTTGAACTGGGAAACACACCTCGTTTTCTGTGAACGCAACACCTAACTCTCATGCGCTATCATGGGCCTGCCAGCTGGCGGGTGGCTCCTCGACTGATGCCCGGCAGCTTCTCTGTCGGGTCTCACTCCTGACTGACCTCCGTCCGCAGGGGTGATTGGCCTGCTGTTGAAGATCATCACGCCGCTCACCATCGTGCCCACAATCGCCTATGGCCGGCCTGTCCCTGTTCCAAGAGGCCAAGAAGAAGGCCGCCACCCACTGGGGTGTCTCTGTGCTGTGAGTGGTACAGACGGCCGAAGCTGCCTGACCCTAGGTGACGCTGAACAATTTGAAAGACGAGATAAAGACGGCCGAATTGTTTGCACTAGCTGACAGAACTTGACTGGTAAATATTTACTCTGCGGATGGGACCCAGCTGGACTGTGAATCTGGAAACGTCTGGACGGACAGAAGTGCAAACGAGACATACGCGAGCACAACAGCGCCATGCATTGGGTTTAACGTCAAGTAGCCAAGTGTTTTGGAATCGGCGATTGTGGAAGATAACCTATGTTTATATTTCGTGATGCCTGTTCAACATCCCAACAACTAAAAGAATCGCAAACCCTGCCAGCTTTGACGTTCTTGCCATATTTCCCAACCTGCAGGGACGATCCCTTTTATGATTCTTCACCCCATGTGCGAAACCAAAATCCGAAAACCAGGGCAGCAAGATGCGGCCGTATCATATTTTTGCGCGATTTTGATGCGTAGCTTTTGACATACCTGCTCAGTAAGGCTGTCTCCATAAAAAATCCGTCCACCAAGGTAGCTTGAGGCCTTCTGCGTTCATCACATGACGTATCATGATCTTCAGCTTACATGACCTCTAACTTGTGGCATGCATATACGATTATGTTATTGGTACCTGCGAAAGATCCATATATATGACGGAGCAATTTTCGTGGTTTGCCGAGGTGTGGCCTATAAGTGACGTTGCTGTTCGTGTAGTCCACAGTTCGTGTAGTCAGACATTTTGGTTCGCGGTAGGGCGGTAGGGCAGGCTGTTTAGAGATCAGCTCCAAGTGTTGGTTTGAGGAGGGCTCGACATTAAATTATGCTTGCAAGGGCCACGAAAACTACCGACGGCTGGCTGTTGTCCAGCCGCTTCACATTTTCAAAACCGTTAGTGAAGAAAACATGGCGTACAGTGTCGAGAATGCTTCGCTTAGCGTCCGTATTTTGGAATGCGCGCTGGCGTGGGAAACTGCACACCTTGTCTTCGTCCTTAAGTCAGCGTAACGACACATGACTGTGATGACTAATTCAAGATCACCAAATTATTCCAACGTGTTTCCTACATGCTGATACCGATTTTGCAATGCGTTATTGCAGAACCCTGTAATCCTTCTACGTCACTTAACGCGCGAACCGGTTGGTTTCAACTGAAGAATTAGGCAACAGCTTGTTAACGACCTACGCTATGCTCAAGTTGTTGCCGTCCACTTGAAGGCGATTTGCCTGATACGAAGCAGTAAGGATGGTACCCCTTCCCCATCTGTCCAACTAACTGACTGAGTTTTCCGACCTTGGGAATGAAGTGGAACAGCCGCCGCGCAGCGCCGCCACATTGCAGACGCACTGCTGACTCTTGTTACATAACGTCCAGTTACGTAACGTGCGGGCATCTGGCGTTCCGATACGATGGACGATACCAACAGAATCTTTTTGACACTCGAGCCCAAGTGAATCGGGTTGTGTTACAGATATCTTACTATATATATATATATATATATATATATATATTATATATATATATATATATATGCATATATGCATGTATATTGCAGTCAGGCTGGGACTAAGTAAGCTTAACGAACAACGAGTCGGGCAACGACATGAACATAAGGGCTTGGAATATTCTTAGCCCTAACGGAACTCGAACTGAATCGTCATTTCCTTCAAGTTTCGAACAAATTTGAAGGGCACATTCTGATACCAAAACATGGATATCTAAGGTTGATGAGATGATGTCCGGTATGGATAGCAGGGCATTGGTGCACCTGTTGTGTTGCATAGAGTTTTATGTGCTAGTTTCATGTCGCTGTGGGTATGTTCGGGTCGGAGTTAATCTCATCCAGGGTGCGGGACTCAGGGCCTGGCTGGTGAGGCGTGGAACCAGCTGGCCCTGACCACATACGTGCTTAGGGTGGACTCGATGACTCGGACTCAGTGACTCGGTTCCCGGACACGAGCGAAAGATATCGTGACTCGGACTCGGACTCATATCGTGACTCGGATTTGAACTCATATCGTGACTCGGACTCGGGCTCATGGTTTGGGATTTACACTAGACCCGTGCCCTGATAGTGACTAAAGGAGAGATTGGTGCTGGTGCGCGAATATAGGTGGCCCTAGTGACTGCTGTATAGGAGGTGCCTCTGGCGGCCGGTCCGTCCGTCTGGCAACGCCAGCCTCACCAGCAGCAATCCGACTAAGCAGCGCTGCGCTGGGCATAAGCGCTGCTTGAGTCATATCCTGCACTTCCTGAGTCATATGTTGAAAATGATCGAGCAAACTCAAGGGGATAAATTAATGGTCGGTGGAGATTGACTGGAAAGAAAATGGGTGACTAGCTGAGCCCTGTAAATAGATATCCTTGCAAACAATGGAACCTAATTCGACATAAGCGGCACCTATCCACCACTGGTACGCATGCCATATGGCATGCCATAATTCATCTGATTATACGCTGCGCATATCTTCCGTCCGCGTCCGTTGCGCGTCGGTGACCCGTGACCTGTGATGTCACCAGGACGATGTTGGTGGTGATTCTGTGCAGCCAGTACCTGCGTAACGTCACGCTGCCGGTGCCGCGCTGCCGCCGAGGCGACGCCGACGGCTCCCAGCGCCGCGCCCTGCGCGTGCCCATCTTCACACTGTTCCCGGTGGGTGGCCGCCCAGCGCCATGCTGGTTGCTAGGTGTGCGTGTGTGTGTGTGTTTGTGTGTGTGTGTGTGTGTGTGTGTGTGTGTGTGTGTGTGTGTGTGTGTGTGTGTGTGTGTGTGTGTTGTGTGTGTGTGTGTGTGTGCCGTGTGTGCGTGCATGTGCGAGTGCGTGTGGGTGTGGGTGTGCACCCTTCCACGAGAAATGTTTGGTTCTCGATTGCCGGCATTGCCAGTCCGAAGGTCGGCTTCAAGATTAGTGTTTGTTTGGTTGTTGCCGCGGCCTCAAGACCAGTGCTGGTGAGTGATGGCAGACTTTTGCGCTGAGAAATGGGTGTTGCCAGCATGAGTGTGGTCGGTAAAATTGGGGGGGGGGGGGGGGGGGGGGGCAGGAGACATTGATTTTGATAAGACAAAGCTGATAATGTCACCGTCCGGCACGTTTGAGAATGTCTGTTATGCTTGAAACGACGGCTGTCAACGTCGCTTTCGCATATGTGAATAGAGCGTAAACATTGGATATTGGGCTGTTTGTGTACCTCACTTACTCAGATGTTGATCAGGCAGCACACGTCAATTACGGATAAAGTAGTGAAAAGATGCCGTACCACCCATTGTGCCATGTCAGATAACCTGTCCGGAGATGGTGCCGTAACCCGATGACCTGTCTGAAGATGGTGCAGTGACCCGATGACCTGTCCGGAGATGGTGCAGTAACCTGATGACCCGTCTGGAGATGGTGTAGTTACCTGATGACCTGTCCGGAGATAGTGCCGTAACCTGATGACCTGTTCGGAGATGGTGCTGGAACCCGATGACCTGTCTGGAGGTGATGCAGTAACCTGATGGCCTGTCCGGAGATGGTATCCTAACCTGATGGCCTGTCCGGAGATGGTATCCTAACCTGGTGGCCTGTCCGGAGATGGTGCAGTAACCTGATGACCTGTCCGGAGCTGGCGCCGTAAGCTGATGACCTGTCCGGAGATGGCACCGCAACCTGATGATCACCGTGGTATTCCTCCGGCAGATTTTGTTCGGCATCGGCATCAGCTGGGTGTTCTGCGCCATCCTCACAGTCAGCGAGGTGTTGCCGCCCGACTCGCCGGCTCGCACTGACCTGCGCACCTCTGTGGGTGGCAACAGCGACCTGATCTGGACCTAAGCTAGGCAAAGGACGGCACAGAACTGCCGGGTATTGAATGGCCTGTCGGGAGTCTGACGAACCGTCACCGAGGGCAAACACTATGAATCTGTCATGCACTGCATTGTAACTGCCAGGGATTGTCAGACATTTGTATTGGCGCGTGGCGAGCGAGGACGCAGGCTGGAGCGGCGCAGCGGGAGCGCGCAGTATCAGGAGCGCATCCTTTAGCCCAGTGACGCCCACACACGCACCGTGTGGGACGGCTCATTCGGTCCCGTCCAAACAGCAGCAGAGCTGCAGAGCTATCAGTGACCTCGCTGGCGTCCGCGCAGCGCCAGGCGCGCCGCTCTGTTGCGTGTTGCCGGCCGCTGCGCGGGCAGGCCGCTGCCATCGCGCGGCGCCGTCCACTTGTCTGCCGCGCGTTGCCAGGCGCTGTACGAGGCGGCCTGGTTCCGGCTGCCGTACCCGGGCCAGTGGGGCACGCCGACCGTGCATGCCGGCCCCGTGTTCGGCATGCTCGCAGGCGTGATCGCCTCCATCGTTGAGTCGATCGGTGACTACTACGCCTGCGCCAAGATATCCGGTAAGATCCGGTTGAGGTGCTTGGTAGTTGGTGGTGCAGTAGACGGGATAGGAGTCCCCTGATGGTGCGTATGATCCATCGGAGTTAACTCGTAGCATTTCGGTCGTCATTGGTTACATATGCTTTTCATGAGCAGTCCGTTACCTTTCACTTCTCCCACTGTTGCATCCGGTATCCACAACGCAGTGTAATCGGCCAGCATGCGACGCAATTACGTCCAGAGTGCACGACGGAGCCGCGTCGGTCGTGCCCTGACGTGCGTGACGGAAGGTCATTCTGGTGGACAGTGCGACGGCGTTGATAGCGCCCCCTGCCCATGCTCGCAGGCGCGCCGCCGCCGCCCGTGCATGCTATCAACCGCGGCATCGCCATAGAGGGGATTGGCTGTGCGCTGGCCGGCGTCTTCGGCACTGGCAACAGCACCACCAGCTACAGCGAGAACATCGGCGCCATCGGAATCACCAAGGTGTGTGAGCGGCTGCCTGAGCCGCCGTCGCAGACGTGGGTGGGCGAATGCCTGAGCCGCCGCCGCAGACGTGCCCTTCTCAGACGTCTGCTGGGACAGTGATCGGGGGGGGGGGAGGGGGGCAGGGGGAGGACGTAATTCTCCAATGCTTGGCTCCAGAACTCCACGCTGATGCGAGCGATTGTCGCCAGTCATGTACGGTTAAGTTATGTGCGGCGATAGCAGCCCTGTGACCGCCTCCGGTTCCGTCCGGCCAGCGGTTCTGTGACCGTCTCTGGTTCCACCCGGCCAGCGGCCCTGTGACCGTCTCTGGTTCCACCCGGGCAGCGGCCCTGTGACCGTCTCCGGTTCTGCCCGACCAGCGGCCCTGTGGCCACCTCTGATACCGTCCGGCCAGCGGCCCTGAGACCGTCTCTGGTTCTGCCCGGCCAGCGGTTCTGTGACCGTCTCCGGTTCCGCCCGACCATCGGCCCTGTGACCGCCTCCGGTTCCGTCCGGCCAGCGGCCCTGTGACCGTCTCTGGTGCCGTCCGGCCAGCGGCCCTGTGACCGTCTCTGGTTCTGCCCGGCCAGCGGCCCTGTGACCGTCTCTGGTGCCGTCCGGCCAGCGGCCCTGTGACCGTCTCTGGTTCTGCCCGGCCAGCGGCCCTGTGACCGCCTCTGGTACCGTCCGGCCAGAGGCCCTGTGACCACTTCTGATACCGTCCGGCCAGCGGCCCTGTGGCCACCTCTGATACTGTTCGGCCAGCGGCCCTGTGGCCACCTCTGGTACCGTCCGGCCAGCGGCCCTGTGGCCACCTCTGATACCGTTCGGCCAGCGGCCCTGTGGCCACCACTGATACCGTCCGGCCAGCGGCCCTGTGACCGTCTCTGGTTCTGCCCGGCCAGCGATTCTGTGACCGTCTCTGGTCCTGCCCGGCAGGTGGCCAGTCGGCGTGTGCTCCAGTGGGGTGCGGTGATCATGATGCTGTTTGGTATGACCGGCAAGTTCGGGGCCCTCTTCATCACCATGCCGGAGCCCATTGTCGGTGGCATGTTCATCATCATGTTCTCGATGATCACAGCTGTCGGTAAGAGGTTGTCTTTTGATGCTTTTTGCTGATATTTTCCAGCGTGTGGTCAGATGCCCGTCGTGCTGTATCGATTTATGTCCGCGCTTCATCGAGATTGCAAGGGCAAGCAAGATGTAGCTTGCAAGGTTCCGCTTCACCTCAGGTGTCATGGCTCGGTAAAGGCGTATGTCCTATCTGCGTTGGACATCTGAAGATTTGAATAGATGGCTTGCTAGCTTACAACTTCATTTGTTCCAGGATTTTCTTCTCTTCAGTTCGTCGACCTCAATTCCTCTAGAAATTTGTTCGTGCTCGGATTTTCTATATTTTTCGCATTGGTATGTATAATATTGACTCTATCAGGTTACGTTCTCCCGGTTTGGCTCCTAATTGAGTGCATTTTCTGACTACTAAGTGCGTGTTATGAAAATATTAAATTAACCTGTCAAGCAGCCGCCCGTCCGGTGCATATTCAACCATGCCTTGAAAACTCTGGGTGTGCTTGTACGCTTGTCTAAATGGCAGCCTTGCCAAGCGCGCAGTTGAAGAGTCACCGGACGTGTGTGCTGACTCATGAACTCTCTTGAATCACCAGGTTCTGCCCACCTACATGTCGGAGCACAAGGACGCCGTACGGACGGGCAGCGACACATTCGACCAGATCCTGTATGTGCTGCTCAGCACCAGCATGTTCGTGGGCGGCTTTCTCGGCTGCGTGCTGGACAACACGATCCCGGGTGAGCCCTGTGCGGCAGACGACTCCGAATAAGGCCCTGAGGCTTGTTAGGTCTGGACCGGAGTGCACCAATCGCCGCCGCCAATCGTGGCCGGAGTGACCGGAGTGACTCTGACCCACCCGGACACAAACGCCGCCGTGCTGAGATAGCGCCGCCAATCGTGGCCCGGAGTGACTCTGACCCACCCGCCGTGCTGAGATAGCGCCGCCAATCGTGGCCGGAGTGACCGGAGTGGCTCTGACCCACCCCGCCGTGCTGAGATAGCGCCGCCAATCGTGGCTGGAGTGCCCGGAGTGGCTCTGACCCACCCTGCCGTGCTGAGGTAGCGCCGCCAGTCGTGGCCGGAATGCCCGGAGTGACTCTGACCCACCCCCGCCGTGCTGAGATAGCGCCGCCCATCGTGGGCTGGAGTGACGGAGTGGCTCTGACCCACCCCGCCGTGCTGAGATAGCGCCGCCAATCGTGGCTGGAGTGCCCGGAGTGGCTCTGACCCACCCCGCCGTGCTGAGATAGCGCCGCCAATCGTGGCTGGAGTGCCCGGAGTGGCTCTGACCCACCCCGCCGTGCTGAGATAGCGCCGCCAATCGTGGCCGGAGTGGCCGGAGTGGCTCTGACACACCCCGCCGTGCTGAGATAGCGCCGCCAATCG